TAACCCGCATTTTAGTAGTCAAATCTGATGGACAAAACTTTTTTCGAAATCTGATACATGGGATCACTTCGAGACCGAATTGATATGAGCAGATACTCAATGGTATTCACACGCAATTCATATAATGTATTTTATCATTATGTTAATGTTAATTTAATTATTATATTTAGACAATTATATTCATGTCTTTATGGTTGGGCTCATACATAACTGCGTTTATATTTGCACTGATATTTGAATACCCCATATTGTTTATTCAAAAACGCGTGTCTAGTAAAATGAAATTCAGTTTTAAATCACCCGATAAAACGGGAGTCCATTTAAATCGAGAACTAACACTTATAAAATTAAATAATTAATAAAATATTGATTCTGAAATAAGCTTATATTTTACAATTTGTAAATTTTTCTTAATAAAAATAAAAATAAGAGCGATTAAAATAGTTTCTCATTTTAATTATTAATATAGTAAAATAATATTTAACCTAATTTCTATAAGTTTTTACAAATTAAATATTAAATTGAGATCTCAGTCAAAACAAATATTATTGTTAGATTACAATGTGTACTTTTCTTAATAGTTTTTCTAAAAAAAAAGTTTCATAAAATAAAAAACAATTCACTGAACTTCGCATATCATTAAATGATATATACCAAAAGATAGCAATGAGTTAACCAAAGGTTGAAAGGATGTACCCCTTCCTATATATAACTCGGTCTATGTCTGGCATATCGACAATCCTAAACAATTCAGTCGAGGGGCCAAAGCAAAGTTAAGGGAAATGGGGCCTTATGTCTACTAGTAAGTCATACTTAATTATACAGTTACTTTTGCTGATACCTCTATTTAATTTACATGATTAATATTAGTTTGTAATTTCCTTTTTTTAATTTGTTATAATTTGTTTAGCGTTTAATTGAACTTTAGTTTTATAAAGCATTTAATTCTTAATTTCATATGAATTATAATCAAAAACTATTGATTTTAAAAATTGGTTGAAACTTATCAATATTTAGTTAGTATGAGAAATAAAATTCACTTAAAATTATAACTAATAATAAATACAATGTATACAAAATGATGGATATACAGCACCGGTGGAAAGAGATCATCTCATGGGGTAAGGATGAGGAGACCGTCAAATTCTGGGCCCTTTCCTCGTAGAAGTTCGACGCAGAGAGGACTGTGGGCTCGCGAAAGGACAAACTGACCATCGTCAATCTACCTGTTTATGTGAGCATTTCATTATTCAAACACATTTGTGTCACATTTAACCAAAAGTCTACAATTCTATAGGCAATGGCAGGTGTGATAAGAGGTCTCATAGAGAAGCTTCCCCTGTCTTTCGCCATCGCACCGGTAGTTTTCGCGGCCGTTAACGTACTGTTTATGACACACGGCGAGGGACTGTTAAGACAGGTGACAGCCGCCCAACTCATAGAGGGCTATCCGTTCAGGATATTAGACACCATCGATGTGGTGACCAAACCGTTGGCCT